ATTTAGGAGATTCAGCTTTTTCACGCCTTGCCCTTCTCCCTCATTCCGTATTTTGGAAGGTGTATCTCTATGGGAAGTATAACAACTGAAACAAAAAAGCTTAAAGTTTGCGAAAATCTTCGACTTCCTCCAAATTTTTCCAAAATCGTTCCCATTTCCCAAAACCGTATGCTGTGCCATAAGTGCTTTCCTAGACTATTTACGGCGGACCCTGTACCATGAGTGGTGAACCTCTCGAAAGGCATACGAAATACGAGGGAATTTTTTGAATTCCTTCTCATCAGCTCGGGTGTACAATTATCAGGTGGTTTTCAGTTATACGAAGTAATTGTTGATAATAAAGATCCATGCAAGTTGTTATTGCGCTTGAATGCCGTTGTTAATCGAGTGTCATCTAGCACTCATAATGCATGGCTGTGGAACGATATTATTGGTAGGTTAATTTTTTTATCGGTATACGCTTTGTGTCCGCTAAAATATGGTGTTTAGGTAGAATTTTTGTTCCTACTCAGCAGTTCAGTCATCGTTTACGCGCAATGATTTGTGTGAAAATAACTGCATCATGGACTGGTACATTTGAAGACGTTCCATGGACTGCTACAGATTTGGAGGTGAGCTCAAACTTACTATTTTACTCTCATCCTCTTTTTTGTTCGAAAAGACAATCAACTCCTTAAAAAACCCGATTGTCTATAGATCGAAGAACATAAAACATACGCACCGATAAAGCTACACAACAAAGTTAAGGTTCATTTAAAGGCAAAAGTCGGGCTCATTAAGGGGTATTATGAAACTGAGTATAGAGATGCGAAGTGGAACGACAGTGGAGAAAAAACTGAGAAAAACCGTCGACAAGGCCGTTAACAAAACCCTCTTTCCCACTAGCAGTGAAGGAGGCTGGCTTGGGGAAAGAGGCACGTACAAACAAGTTTTCTGGAGATGTCAGTCGTTCTATCGGTTGATACGGCAATCAACCTAGCTGATTTCACACGTTATGCCAGCCACGCACCACTTCCGGAGGTGGGCGGTCCTGGATTGACGAGGCGGTCCCGGATTGAAACCGACGGCCCCGGGGCTTAACGACGTTTTTCAAGGTGGGAAGTTGCTGCAATGTGACTCTTCTAGCGCGACTGAGCCCGACCTTTGCCTTTAATGAAGTGATGTTATCGTGTGCGCAGTGAGTTTTCACGTGGCTTCTTACGACTGCACCTCTGAAGCGCGCAGGTTCTATCCCTACCGGGACTCAACCATGCTCTTCAAAAATTGCAAAAATGGTCGTAATACCCTTGTCCAGGTTGACAGGCCAGCCGATGAAGTCCCCTTTCACATAAACATGCCTAGCGCGGGGTGAATGAAATGGAGGGGTCCATCGTAACTCTGCGATAGGTAATCCAGAACGCTAAAGGGAATGTGTACCGAACAGTGATGATGGAATGCGACTATATGGTAGCCCTGAAGAAGATTCCACGACGGCAGTTTCACTTCCCTAAAATGAGGATGCTGAGATGGGCCTGCGGCTGGACGCGACTGGACAGGGTCAGAAACGAGGATGTCAGAGCGGTCATGCAGACTGCCCCTGTCCAGCTGAAGGTACGGGAACAGCGTCTGCGATGGTATGGGCATGTGCTAAGGAGGCCACAGGACCATCCGATAAGAACAGCGATGGACTTCGAAGCGCAAGGCAAGCGACCGCGAGGAGCCCCAAAGAAGAGGTGGAAAGACGTAATCAAGAAGGACCTAGGTGAAGGTCACGGCCACGATGGAAGATGCCCTGGACAGAACTGGCGACGGGTGATCAAGACAGCGAACCATGCGATTGCGTGGATCTCACGCAGTAGGGAGGAAGATCTATTACATCTCGTCCTGTCATTTTGGTCTTGATCAAAAGGGCTGGAGGTTTTCTGCTTATTCAGTGGCAGTGACTGCAGGCCACAAAGCGGCTGAACCGGAACGGAATACCTATTAGATTTTTGGTCGGAGCGGTTGAAGGAAATGTAGTCAAAATTCACACCTCTATCTACATCGCACCTCTACCTAGCGCCCAGGTAGGGTTTTCAGGAAGGTGACCTAGACTGAATGCAAGCCCCGGGATGAAATGAGGAAGTTATCTCTCAAATACGAAGTACTGGGTCCTAAGTGAGTCGACGTTGAAGGAAAAAAGGAGGAAATACCCCCAAAGAAGTCCAAAATCTGATCTTCCTCCTGGTAAGTTGCTTCTAAGCTACGGCTTCAAGAAGTGCTCCTGAGGACGTGTTTACAGCAACTGCTCACCTGTGCCATTAACCGACGGGGCCATAAAACTCAACAATTAGAATTGATTGTTTCTAATTCGTATTTCTTCTATCTGTGCTTTTTTGTTTATTTTCCATTTTGAAAATTTGACTCTCATTAGATGAATGACAACGTTCTCGATAATGGTCGTAACATAGGCTTTGATGTTGAACTTTCGCAGTTGAAATCCGCTAAATATTCCCTACGACCTTCCAAACAACACCTTAACATCTAGTGTTCCAGGTGGTTGTTTGGAAGGTCACGTGGAACGGTGGGCGGGCTCAATGGGGTTGGGGCGGCGCCAATGCTCCAACCTTGGCTCCTAGCGCCTTAAACCTTGTCAAACCCCCCGTCACTTCTGCACATGTTCCGCTCTTGCTTACCACCACATATCTGGCGGGGAAAAGCGAAATTTTGACCGGAAATCCCAAACTTAGCAGTCGCTTCCTCTGCGGTCTGCGTCTTTCGAAAAATATATAGTATTTGGTAAGAAATATATTGTATTGGGTAATAATATAGAGGCAATGTACATAGAAGGCTGTGTTCCTGTCGGCTGTGTGTTTTTCTGAAGCAAACGGCTTTGAGAATCTCACCTATTCTACAGTTGGTTTCTTCTTATCTATCCACGCATGCAACAACACGTGAATTTCTCTCTTTTCTTACGTAACAGCGGGAACTTTTCAGACTGTTATCACTTTTGTCGTATTTTTTATCTGCTGAAAAATGCCATGGATAATGGGCAGAGCTAGACTCTACAGAGTGGTGGGGCCATACCCGCGCAGTGGCCAAACGTTAGTGCGCGTTGTGTGCAAGCAATCGATCGCACGCGAAAAAGTTATTCATGAAGTACAACTTCGCGGAGTTTGGCCACGATCAGGATCCGCGCGGAGCCCATAACTTCTGGGCTTGTTGCCTTAGCTTTATCAGGGCCTGGCGTCAGGACTTTACTTTGTTTAAAAACCCTGGCTCTGCTTAAAAATTGGACTTCAACGAACTTATTTTCTGGTCATTGTGTTTTTCGGACGCTTTTTGGTGTTCAAGTTATTTCTCTGACAAAATGGAACAAAATTTTTTGCTCATTTCTTTAAGCGGCTATTTTAGGTCATTGGTGATGATGCAACTATACGTGTCCAAAATGCTTCCTTACTTCAGACGGACGACAACTGGACGGTAAATATCATAAGAGAGGTATAAAAGGCTAAGCTTCAAGTAGAAGTTCACGAAATGCGTAACAATATTTCCAGGTTTCAAATATAAATACAAATCAACCCACATTTTTTGGATTTATCAGTAACCCTAAACATGGTTCCGCGTTTATTGCGTGGACTGATTTGACGCAGGGTGATACCCCTCCTGCTCCAGATACTAAATGCAGGTGAGAAGAGCTTGATCTTGAAAAAAAAAGAAAATTTTTGTTTGGAAGTCCAAATCCGAGGAGAACGGAAATATAGCAAGCCTGGTCATTAACACAATCACGACGACGTGTGGGGCGAGCGCAATTTTGTGAGTGCCGCCGCGTTGTCCTATATCCGCGGAAAATGAAAAAAAAGCAAACATCATTTTGTCTAAATAATTTCATTAGTGTTCAATGCGGGGCGGAAGTGGTGTAGTGGCAAGTGGCACGCTTACCACGCGAGCGGTCCGGGGATCAAATCCTGGGTCGTGAGTCGCCCGGGCCAACCAAGCCTTCCATCCCTCCGGGGTCGGTTAATTGGTACCAGACTTGTCTGGGAGGATAAAAACACTGACTTGTACATCGGCTGGCCCCCGCAAGTCATTGTATAGGCCACATCGCATTCAAACGCCACTACGAATGTACAAATGGAAGTAGAATGCGCATCCCAAAAGGGATTGATCAACGGCAAATGCTTTATCCTTTATCCTTAGTGTTTAATGAGTAGTGATTATACAGTGGCATAGAACCTAATTTCCGAGCAAAATGACGTGTGATGGCAAAGAAACCAAGATTCATGAATTTTAGCTGCAATGAGCACCATAAGCATTTTTGCTTCGATTGTTTAGTGTCACTTATCTTGCCATTTATAAAGGTTTGAATTTGCTCCGGTTGCTCGTTTAGAATAGATATTACCGTTTATGGTTATTCATTGGCCTGGTTATTTCCTTGATATAAAAATTATTCGAATAACTTGTGCTATTTCAAATGGCATGGATTACTAACTGGCATGTGGAGTGCCATCTTCCCACGAGCACCCATTACTGGCAGTCCATGTGGGGTGCCGTTGGTGTGTCTTGTTAATGTACAGAGAGAGGTGTAGTGTGATGTTGTTAGTAGCATTTTTAACTGCTCATAGGCAAAGTAAATTTTTAAAGTTGACTGGACAAAAAGATTGATTACATTCTTTGCACTTGCGCGCCTGGAATAATTGATTCTGATATTTAAGGGCTACCGTCTTTTTTCAATCTCGAAATGGTAAACACTCTTGGAGAGCAGTGCTGGTGACGCCGTTGGGTGGTGATGGTTTTCCCATTTGGCAACATCCATTGCATAACCATTCGGGAAGGCTTTCGCTTCCTGAGCGTCCGTATAAGGTATGTGCTGAATAGGTGATTTTAGTGGCATGTCACTTTATATGTTGTCATTCAGAAATTAACACGCAGAGTTAAGGCGTTTGCAGTTACTTTAGTATTGTTCTGCCGCGAAGTCTCATGTTCACCTGAATGTGTAAAAATAACTTGGGACTCTAAAGTAATTGATGCGGAGCACTTATTGTATATTGGTCGATGGATAATGATCCCAAGGATCTTCGTGGTCATCATCCTTATTTTGCGCCTATTCATCTGCGTGAACGCATTATTATGTTCACATGTGTTCAAATATTTCCCAGTACCCCATTCTTACCAAGATGGAGGTTTTTTCTTTCAAAAAGGATCCAACCATGGCACACGCCCGCTCATGGTCAAGCACAGTCCCCTAAAGGCACTGTTTGGGTTCGGCAATTCACCTGTTCCTCCCCTGTTATAATAGGCAGGCGGGCAAGCTTTGAAATCATGATCTCTGCGTCTTCGAAGTGCTCGACAAAGGCGCTAGAAGTTTGCTCGATCCCTATTCCACACCTTGCTCCGCACTTCCATTGTCGGCTGCCACTGGCGCCACGAGAAAGTACGGCCGCCGTTGCTGCAGCGTTAGCATGCAGCTGCTCCTCTATCCCAAGGTGGGTGGAATATGGTGGAAAGAGAGAGGTGCCTTCTTTGACGCATAATTGGGAATTTCTTCTGCTTTCTTTGTTTTTTTTTCCAGACCACTCTCCACTTCCAGCTTCATTATTGATACTCTTAGAAACCCATTTTATCCCGGCTCTTGCGTTTGAGCCCATTTGGTTGGGTTCCCCCGCTGTCATACATTGCCAAAGGTCAGCTAAGTGCAATGGCGGTTAAAATTCTCCAGTAAAACGCTCTTTTGACCTTTTTTTTCTAGTGCAGTTTGGCGCCGTGTGGATTTTTTAACCCATTCGCGACCGCGCAGGATTGCGCAATAGCAGCAGAGTCAGGAGATTTTTCTTCAATAAAATTTGAGTGGATGGAGATTTCCTCTGCCCAGGGCTGGCGTAGATGAGCGAGGGTATGAAGATTCTTTTCATGGAAAGAAAACTTTCCAAATTCCATTTGAAGCCCTGCAGCCACAGTAATGCCATTGTCCCGAGTGAGATCTTTGTCAGCCACCGGTGGCTGACATTGTCACGAATGGGTTAATTATGCCTACAGAAGCTGCACTCGGAATCTGTTGAGAAACTTGGATAAAAATCGTTTGTTTTGCAAAACCAACACACCTACGTTACAGGGCGCTCCAGAATTACTTGCTCGTTACAGCGTTTGTTCTGCTGGTCCTTGGAAGCAATGAGCGATCAGTTAGGGGTCAACCTTTTGGTGACCATTTCTTCTATCAGTGCTTTGAATTGCACTTCTAAGTGCCCGCGTCTGCGAAATGGTTGGACTTCATTTTCCCTGGGCAGTGGTCGCTCAATGGAGGAATTTGCGATAAGAACAAAGGTCAAAGAAAGGAGAATTCACACAGTTGGAGACAGGCGGACCTCCTGAGGGTGCTGACCGACGCGACGCAAATTGGCAGCGAAAGATTTGACCTCGGCGATCTGGCATGGCTCTTGGCACAGTTGGCGCGGAACACCCATCGACAGAGAGAGCGATGGCGTCGAAGAGGGCACAGCGATGAGAGTCGCATCAATCAAGTCAACGGGCAAGGAAGGGTCCCATTTCTCGGGTTTCAGGCCGTTTCAAATGGTTTCTTCTTCCTGCTCCACTGACCACCTCTACCCTTATTTCCAATGAGCTAACTTTTTGTCGTAAATTCTGCCTTTAAAGACAAGTCCGAGCTTAGCCTCACCGAAGTAGTCGCTAACTCAGACAGAGGTGTGTGGTCCGCCACTGCAGAGATCGCGTCACTAAGAGGCTAGGCGCTAAAGTCTTCCGAACAGACTCCACCAAACTAACATGGTCCGCCCACCGCTTCGATATCTTGTCTGCGTCGCTACGTTGATCTGCTATGCTCTCTCTTCTCGGACTTCTCTACCGCTCTCCGCGCTCACATTATCTCTCATCTCCCTGCCGGCCTTTTGAACTTCTCCGCAATGTAGAGCAAAATGGGGCTCGTACTTTCAGTGTATTTCACGATTTTCTTTCCTTTTATCTCGACTTATAGCCCACCTCGGGCGGAAGTGGTGTAGTGGCAAGTGGCACGCTTACCACGCGAGCGGTCCGGGGATCCTGGGTCGTGAGTCGCCCGGGCCAACCAAGCCTTCCATCCCTCCGGGGTCGGTTAATTGGTACCAGACTTGTCTGGGAGGATAAAAAACACTGACTTGTACATCGGCTGGCCCCCGCAAGTCATTGTATAGGCCACATCGCATTCAAACGCCACTACGAATGTACAAATGGAAGTAGAATGCGTGCCGCATCCCAAAAAGGATTGATCAACGGCAAATGCTTTATCCTTTTATTTTATAGCCCACCTCCCTTCCCTACTTTGATATTTTAATGGGATTACCACACCAAAAAAATAATCATAATCAAAAATTTAATCCTGATTTTCGCTTTTGTTTGCGCATTTTTGTTCCTGTGCGAAAACATTAGCTAAAGCGCTATCAGTGCGCGGTAGACCTGCGAGTTCGCCATCAAATGATAATTAAGGGATCTTAGAGCTGTGAAAGCGACTGAGAATGGTGGACACTTGCGACTGCAACTTTCTCGAAAGTACTGAAGTTGTACAAGACATGGTGAGGGCCCAATCGTGTGAAGTCGCCAACAAGCAGTGTCAAAAAGTTGGAAGTAAGCCATTCCTCGAGATGTCATCGCCCAGAGAATGTTATGGCTTTGGGCTTATGGCTGCCAAGGTCTCACTCCATGCTGCACCTATAAAGATAATCCGGGCCGACGTCAAGATGTTCTTTGGATGATTACATCAGCGCGCTACAACATGGATATAGGCTTTCTCAATGAAATGTTGTGAGCCACCTCCCATTGTCAAAACCTTCGAGCGATTTGCCTAGGAACTGTATGAATTGACGAGGGATGGTTTCGTGAATGTTGTGGAACTGCAACAAAAATGTCTGGGCTGCGATAAGCTATGAAGTGACGTCCGCACTTGTTTTTGTCGAATAGGATACTAAAACCATGCAAAATTTTACGTGAAAGATGGCTGCGTAATGGCTCACTTCCTTGGACAAAATACCAGAATGGATCGGGACTATACGCACTTAAGCGAGATGCAGCACTGCTGATAGATTGAGATCAGCTGCAGACACTACGAGAAAACCGTCCCTGACCTCATCACCGCCCGATCAATGGAAGTACCTATTCGATTCCATTTGAATATTTCATGGTGCCTTACTAAGAGAGCAGAGACTGCTCGTGGTAACATCTCGGATCCCCTATAACGAACCTGCCCAAAGGTTAGGAAAAAATTTCTACGGAGCACCTACGCACCGGTGACGGCTTTTACTCGCAACTAGAGACATGACTCCGACTCGAAAGGATTTCGTGATGTGAAATCCGGTTTGTTAGTGGCATTTTGTTTTTGAACTTTTATTAAAAGAAGAGCTCCAGTTCATTTTTTACTCACTTTTACAAGGGCGGATATTGAGGCAAGTTATTCTAGCACGCCCTATGTAACCATTCAACATTTGGTCGGACACCTAATATTAATGACCGCAGCGCAGCAGGATGGCTTTTCAGCGCAGTGCAGTGCGACAGACTTTTTTAGTCATATTTTGCCGTAGTAACGTTTCTGAGTCTTTCCACAGATGCTCTTAGAATTCGAATCCGCAAGTAGTCTTCTCGATTCGAAATATGTGACATGTTGCGGTCGAAAAGCCGTATTTGTGCCTTTGAGATGCGGATCACTGTGCTGTTAGCCAATATGTCTTCGTCGTACTGCGTTATCGTTTTACCGATGATTCCGTAACAGAGCCCATTTGGTCCAAACAGAAGGCGATATAGAGCACAGAAGTTTTCCAACCTTGTAAGATTGTTAGTTATTCCTATCCAACTAAATATTTCACTAGAAAAACGCAATGCTTTCCCGGCATTAGGTTTTGAAGAACATTATAAATTGGCTTCATCCGTGAATGATCTTTTTCAAGCCAATCTATGCAGGACGACGGAGTACAAAAGCTGCTCCAGCTTCACACTTTTTTGTTCAAAATTGTGTTCTTGACGGATGCCTCTTGAATATTCTATCGCATTGGCACGACTCTTTTAATAGCAAAATTCAACCGTTGTAAACATTTCGAGGAGAATTTCGACAATAGCGAGATGAGGGCCACACACGAAGTTGAATGATGCGTATCATTCAAGTAATAATAAATATTCAAAAATATCAACTGCATAACTATCTACTAGGTTGTTCCATACTTAAAGTTTTGAAAAGTTTTGATCTAGTTTTTTTTGTTGGTCTGTAGTGCTGGCTAACCAATGATAGAGCATCATCATCCAAGCATATTGTTCACACATTAAGAGAGCCACTTTCTTTCTTGTGGAATTGCTTTACCAGGTCGAAAGATAAGATGCCGCTTGTGAGAACTCACTTCAAATCTGACCCAGGGACAAATCGCGCCGCAGCTAGCGATTAGGCCATTGATCGACACACTCGGCTGTTGTATTTTGCGTATGCTCTGTTTTAGGGGGGGGGGGGGGGTCGTGCCAAGACCTCGATTTCAGGGGGGGGTCGTACTTCTGCGACCACGTCCTCGACCCGATTTTCACCCTGATTGGCAACCCCAAGGCGCTGCAACTAGTGCGCCTTTGGTCACGGAAAGGCCACACTCGCTTCCTCAGGCTCCACTGGTGTATGTACTTCCTTGCTGCACACACACCTTATCGTAATCTCTCGCTTCATATTCTTGCAAACTCGAAGTCAAGAATATCGTAACAGTAGATGTGACGTGAGGCCAACCTGTGGAATTTTACCTCGCAGTTTCTTTCTGCCCTTCATGTTTTTTTTTTCAGTTGCCGCCTCCATCGTTGCCATCTGCAGGCACTTTACCACTCAACAGCTCTGTGTCACCTGTTGTTGATGTTGTTATGAAGCCCGACAAGCTCTTCTCACCTGTGGTCGCAACAACACTCGATAATATGTCACCACTATCGTCGATAATCAGCGAATCGCCTGAAGTGTCACCAGCACCCTACTTGTTCACATCGGACGCCTCTGACAGCTATTTGAATCAAGATTTACTCGATCAACTCGATCTTGGTAAATATACTTCGGTCCTGTTCCCACACTCCAGTAGCGATCGTATTTGGGCATCAACCAAGCCACTTGGCGTGTTTTCCTCTTCTGTGACATCGACCGATCCTCTGCTGACTCCAGCATCTCGGTGAGCATTCCTTTTCATTTCAAGCAAATACATTTTGTCATAAGTACCTCCCTGCTTTGTGTTAGGTAGGGTCAGCGAAGAAAAGTTCTGAGGACGTGGGTTTGCGGTGGGGAAGGGAATGGGTGGTATTTTATGCAGTTGGCAGAGCATTTTCAGATGAATTGTGGGTCAACTAAAATTGAGGAAACTGATTTGCAAGAAATCTTCAGGAATTTCCCAGAATTCCGCAGAACTTTCTGAGTTTTGCGGCATTTCTGTGTTGACTGTTGCGTGCATTCCTTTCCCGCTTGATGGACTTTTGAGCAGAATCTGAACTTTCTGAGCTGCGTATTGCTGATACTTTCATTATAGCTTGTCGCCCACCTCTCCCACAAGTACCGATGCAGCCACGCAAACGGACATCATGTCTGAGCAAGAAGTGTTGAAGGATATAATGGATAACAAAGATTTGTTTTTCAAGGTAATCATTTACTCAAATTGTTAGCACAGGCTAAAAGATAAGTTTTTCGCGACTGCGAAGATCGTTCCATGAAATAATACATTTCAAACGTCACATGTACAGCATCCACTCGGGGTTTCTCGTAGTATACTTGAGTGATAAGAGATTCCTGAAAGAGGGTGTTCTCTATTGAATTTTTACTGTTTTGAGTGCTTCCAGGTTGCGGAGAGTCTTCCACAGCATTACAACAGGCTGATGGATATACGTTTGCAGAGGATTTGAAGTAATATGTTCATGGTAGTGGACGTCATCTTGAAATCAATGTTGAACTATATGAGGTTCTTCATTATTCGTAGATCCTGCGCCAAAAATCATTTGAATATTACATAGTAGTAAAAATATGAAATGAAGCATTATTCATATAGTCTATAAATAAACTGTACCTTGCAAACCTGTTGTTAAACGCTCCAGTGGAAGCAAATGAGTATGTTGTGTACAGGGTGGCCAGAACGGTAACAAGATGAAGGGGTCATAGGAAATCTGTACAACTAGAAAAAGATAGGTGGGAAACAAGAACGTGTTCACTGAAGGGTAATGAATGTAAAACCATATGGTCCTTCCCAGTAGCCCCTATCCGGTTTGAAAAAAGCGCGAAGTCTTCCAGGGAATGCACTGACTGCGGCGTGTTGATGAGCGGCCCCGACCGCGTCCAGGCATTATGAAGCGGTTCCTTCAATCCCTTAACGTCACCATGATGTCAGCGGCAGGTGCTCGTCTTCCCCACTCTTCGTGAAGCGTGAACCAGTAGATTTGAATTGGGAACTCTAGGTCGCAACTTTCCAAACGCAATTATCTCTGGGCAATTCAGCTGGCAAGAACTTTGCACAAATTTTCTCGTGTGCCGGTTCAACAGAAACGTTCGATGAGGTTGCTATTTCTTCCCTTGGTTGGAGGAATTATTTGAGTGAGAAAGAAATCGAGATGGTCTTTTCTCTTCTATTTTATGTTTTGTGGAACAAAAGTCAAAAGCGACGTGATTTTCGGTTTCATCACCGTAAAAACCTTCACTGTTTCCGGACCCAGTTATGTCTGAGATATTGAACTTTGGCTTGTTTGGAATACAGTTTTGGTCGCTCTATCCATTCATGACTAATTCGACTGTGAGTACTTCCTCATCAGCGAAAAAGGTTGTCAATATGAACTGAGACAACGCCTCCGTCCAGCTCCAGCTCCTCTTCAGTTTGCTCGCCTCATTGGAGAGCTGAGCTGTTCCAAGCTAATGTGCCTCACCCATGGGATGTCTTCTGACGATCACATGCAAAGAAGTGCACCTGGTCCCTAACACGGGAAAAAATGACCTGCTGAATGTGCTAGATTCCATCGCTGCTCAGCGCCTACTTTTTCAACATTGTTCTCAGTAACAACAAAAGCTCCTCTCCCACGTGCAATCCAATCGCTTCTAGCACCTAGCCAATTGTTCTTCGCAATAGTGGTTGTTGCAGCTTTACTGAAGATCCTGATTCGCTTTGCAACGTAACACCACCAGACATGTTGAAGAAGCAAGCGGGTCGTTATTTCATGAAGAGCTAAAGGCTTAAACAATCCAAACTAGGTAGAATCCGAGTGGTAAAATTAAAGAGTGAACATCGTATCAATAGAATCAAATGCGCAAAAGCTATACTCAAAACCCCTTTCGTTTAATCTTAGAATTGTACACGGTACGCTCTTGTTACCGTAATTTCTGGCCACCCTGTAGAAAAGAACTCCAGCATATGATGTCTTTGCAGGATCGTTCATCCATCTCATGCTTACTGTCGATATTGTGCTGTCCCGGAGCCTCATCAGCACCTAAATATTGTATAACACAGAGAGGCACCAAAATTTTATTTCAAAAGAATTCCAAAAGTTCACAAAATTCAAAAATTCCAAAAACTCCAAAGTTCCAAAAAGCAAAAAAGTTTGAAAAAGAATTCCTTTGAAATCTTCCGCGATATTTCGGTGTATAACACCTTCTTCAGGCCTGAAATACATTGATTACAGTTGGTGTAATTGATATGGTTGTTACTTTCTGTTTTTTGGACGGCGGATTGTTTTGCTTCAAAGGAGGGAATTCACGATTAGAATGAAGGTCGAAGAAAGGGAAACTGACCTAGTTGAGGGACCCACGGACCTCCTGAGGGTGCGAACTGACGCGCAATTCGCATGGAAAAATTTGACCTCGGCGACCTATCATGCCTCAAAGCTGGCGGGTCCGGCGATCTCCGCCCACCGATCATCTGATCACTCGCCGTAGTTCAATACGTGGCGAGTGATTAGATAGCTGAGAGAGCGTAGTGTTGAAGAGGGCACAGCGATGAGAGTCGCATCAATGCTCAAATCAACGGGCAAGGAAGGGGTCCCATTTCTCGGGTTCTGGGCCGTTTCTCATGGTTCTTCCTTCTTTCGTGTACCACTCACCATCCCTAGGTTAATTTGAAATGGGTTGCTTTTTCATCGTGAATTCGTCCTTTAACCCTTAGACTACGACTTTTTTAGAATCGAGTTATAAATGTGTTCTGCGTTGCAATTATCCCTCCCAGCAACAGGCAACCAGCTGTAGAAATTTGGCTGATGTACGTTGGGTGTGACCTGGGATTTGATCTAGGGACCATGCGCGCGGTAGCGGCCCGTCTTGTCATAACACCATTTCCGCTCGGATGATTTTTTTGTTCAATAAATTGGCAATTCTACAACCACACATTTTTTACAATATTAAAGTCTTCAATGACCCGAAAACTTTTACAAAAAAAGTTTGAAAAGGTCAACATTATATGGTCTATGAATGGTACGGAGTAAAACATGATATACACAAGGGCACGTTGCAAGCAGCACACATTATTTTTGTACGAGTTTCTTTCTTTGACATCGCGCAGTATCTACATCGCCGACGCGTTTTTAACTGTAGTGGCATATGGTCCCCAACGTTGATGATCCTCCTGAAATTTTTTGGTGGCCTCCCCATGCCGGGCTTGCGCCTGTTAGCCGTCCTTTCCCTCCCCTGCGCAATCATTTGCTGAGCAAGAGGAACAAGGAATTTGATCAGCTTCGTTTTCTCGTGATGGATTTCCTGATATATTATCCATGCGTTTACAACCGCCACCTGTAGTATTTTATAGTACACCTTACCACCATTTTCTGGAACGTCTATTGAAGTCGTAAAGTGCACATTTCTGATCAGACAGATCTACTCCGCCCATTATGCTGCTGTAGAAGGAGACAGCTTCAGGGCATTCAACTTCTTTTCGCGATCCATCCTTCATTGTGCGCAACACATGCGTTGTAGTCAGCGTGACAATTGCTGACTACCAGGACCTCCTTGGAGCCTTTCCAATGGGCACGAAATTTTTTTCACACAGCTTCCTGCTTTTTGGAACTTTTGAATTTTTGGAATTTTTGAACTTTGTGAACTTTTGGAATTCTTTTGAAATAAAATTTTGGTGCCTCTCTGTGTTATACAATATCTCATGGTTAGTGGAAAAATTCCTGCAGCTCAGTATACTAAAGTAGCGGTGGTGTAAGATGAGCAGGGGCAGAACGTAATTGTCCCTAGAGGCGATGCAAAATGTCAGCCACCGGTGAATGAAATGACCCCACGACTCTCGGAACGAAGCGTGGTGATGAAAAATTGTTTTTGCCGAATTTTGACCTGTAGCCCCAAAACTGACCATTACATTCATTTTCCGATGCAGGAGTCAAATTGATGAGAACTGGCGCCATCGCAGTATTGGCGACTGGTGTCGAAACCAAATATGAATGCCATACTTGTTCCCCGTGAATAGAGGTTTTGTCGAATTTGGTTCTAACAGTGGCGCCAACGCTAAACATGAACTTCTTTTTTCGTTACAGCATTGTCAGCTATCTTAAGGCCGAAGTTTTGGCGGATTCTTTTTCATTTCCAGTTTTCCAGTGCTATATGGATGGGTCTCAAAGTTACTGGTAATGCTTGTTCTATGAACTGCGACTTGTTTAAGGTGGTAGAATGAAGATCATCCTAAACTTACCTCGTGGAAAGACAGGCGGACCACCCAACAATTCGCAACGAGGGACACGCCCCTGGTGAACTAGCTTTGCGGTCCCCCCGGCGCTATCGACGCGGCACACCCTTGGAGTGGCCAACCACTCTCCGTAGTTCTTGAGCCGTCTAATGACAAAGCGTTAGCGTTGAAGAGGGCAGCACCGATGCGAGTTGCTCGATGCAGAAATCGGCACGCAAACAGGAAGTCTGTCGCGAAACGTGACTGTCGTCCGGGCGCGGCTGCACCCTGGGCTCTGTCTCGCTCCACGGCCGGTTACGTCAGGCGCGCGCGGCCTTAGAAGCGTGCGTCACGTAGTGGCCCCGCTCCCAGTCGTCATGCGGTCGCCTCTGCCGGTTGAGGCCGGTGAGGGGGAGCCTCAGGCTACGGCCGTCAGGAGGCCAAGGGCGACACATGAAGTGCGCAGAGCACTTTCATGGGCGCACTGCTGTGGTCGTGCGCACGGTAGTCTCCCTTGGCGGAGCATCGGTAAGTTCACACCATGCGACGCTGAAGATATGGTTACAAAACAGCATTTAATCGCCTGGAAGTGAGAGGCAGTTGTCGTGTGTGCAGAAATGCGTTATGGTTGCCAATGCTTTAGCTTTCTGACCGAAGACACACAAGTACCTCTTTCTGAACAGACTTGATAGACGCAGGAAAACAGGAGAGGGCAATCGTTGAAATGAGCATATTTTGGTTTAGACACCAATCGCCAATATTTGCTATATTTACAAGCTCTACGTGCGAGAGGGATTGGAACCAACCGTCAGCACAGTGCATATCACGGATAGGAGCAGCGATCACCCGCACTGCGCCAACGAGTCGTTGCCCCTCACTGGTCATCAGCCATCAACGAGGGGCACCACACTAATCATAATGTCTGCCAACAAAAAGGCACACTGGCGTCCAGGGTCCAAGCGAGGCGTTGAGGAAAATTTGGAAATACGACCCCCCCCCCACCACCCTCCGCCGGAGGCCGAAGTCCATGAAACAACCCTCTTCAAAAGCCGAACTATGAAAAGGTTGAAAAGCTTGTTTGAATTCTCCCCCAAAACTGCTCATAAAAAAGCCCTGCTACCCCACCGCCCACAAAAAAATTCGTTTAAGAAGTAAAAAAGTGAAAAAGTCAAAGAATAATCATTATTGATGAGTCCTACCAAACGAGCAAACGAGAAACAGACCAGAAAACGACAAACTAGCCACTAAAAATGGCATACCATGACAACATCTGT